CCCCACAGGCCCCGCTGCCCGGCTCCCTGCACCCTCCGCGGCGTGGGCCACGTGCCCTCAGCGGCGCTCCCTTCCTTGTGGCCTTGATCACCCAGACACTTCCCGTCCAGATCTCAGAGGCTCCGTCTCCGCTCCCTCCCCCCCAGTCTCCCGGCTCCTGGTCCGCACAGGCTCCCCAGCTGGAGGTCCATCGGCTCCCCGGCTCCCCGGGGCTCCCACCTGCCTGAGGGCGTTCACACCCCTCCCGGACCAGGACCACTCGGCCCTCGGTAGCAAACCACCACAGCCACTCCGAGTGCCGGACTCAGAAGGGAGGCCCGGAGGCTTCTGAGAGCAGAGGGCGAGGGACTCACGCAGCAGGACCAGCAGGCACGGAGGAGGGCCGGGCGGTGGGGCTGAGCAGCCAGAACAGGGCCCCTCCCTCCCATGGCCGCACAGCTGGTGGCAGCCGCACAGCTGGTGGGGGCAGGGCTGCCACCGCGCTGGACAGGGCCCGCTGCAGCTGGTGCCGCCCGTCTGGGCGCTGGGCTCTGCCAGGAACCCTCTGCCAGCCGGGCAGACCTGGGCCCAGCCGCACCAGCCCAGGGAAGGGGGCCCACCTGGGTCCTCTGGGCTTGGCTGCCGCCGCAGCTCGCACAGGGGCATCACTCGGACCAGTTCCAGGCGGGGGCAGAGGCAGCACAGCGACGTGGCCCGTCCGTGCGGGACAGTGAGTCTCCGTCAACTCCGCGCCTCCTCGTCAGAAGCACGTACAAGTCCCTCCTTCGGTGTCACCGTCTGTAACGCAAACGCCGCATGTAGAACAGCCACTGGTCCTGGCGGGGTCCGTGGTCAGAGCGTCTGCTCACCGAAGGGTGTGGGTTCGATTTCTGGTCAAGGGCACCTACCTGGGTTGTGGGGTCATCACCCGGTCGGGGTGCATGCGGGAGGCAGCCCATCACCATGTCTCTCTCACACCCGTGTCTCTCTCCCACCCGCTCCCTTCCACTCGCCCCCTCTGTCCGCAGGTGCTGTGTAACGGGCCCGGGACCTGCGTGCCCATCTGCGCGGCGGCCGTCCTCCTGGGCGTGCTGGGCGTGAAGCGCGTCACCGTGGTCTACGTGGAGAGCCTCTGCCGGGTGGAGCACCTGTCGCTGACGGGCCGCATCCTGCGCCCTTTTGCCGACTACTTCCTGGTGCAGTGGCCCGCCCTGAAGAAGAAGTACCCCACGTCCGTGTACCTGGGGCGGATCGTGTGACAGGTGCCTGCTCCGGTTACACGCAGCCAACACGACTTACACGTGGGGATGAGATTACACCTTTGTTAGAGAGCAAGCATGTCAAACTCACAGCCCGAGGGCCGCATGAGGCCCACAACCGATAGAACGGTATGTAAGAAACATTTTAATAAAAATTTTTTAACTGGCCCTGGCCGGTTTAGCTCAGTGGATAGAGCATCCACCTGCGAACTGAAGGACCCCAGGTTCGATTCCGGTCAAGGACACGTGCCAGGGGTGGCGGGCACATCCCTAGTAGGGGGCGTGCAGGAGGCAGCCGATCAATGATTCTCTCTCATCATGGATGTTTCTATCTCTCCCTCTTCTTTCCCCTCTGAAATCAATAAAAATATATGTTTTAAAAATATTCATAACTTAATTTTTATAATATCCTGTTATACATAATTATAACGAACTACAACGTTCACTAATGACTGATGACTATAATCGTGTTGCCTTCATTTCCCTTACACGCCTTACTCGCAGGCGCCCCATTTCTCCCCACTAATACAAGCAGCGAATATTTTAGCAGCCAATGGCCACGTCATTAGTCTTGGACTGACTTGTTTGGTGTGCGCAACAGGAAATATTTCGCTTTCAGAGAACAAGAAAAATAGGTTTATATGCGTGCCGCTTATTAATTTGTGCAGCTATTCAGTGTCTGGTAAGTTGATGTTCAAGAAAAAATGTTAATTTCTATTAAAATGTTCTATTTTATGTTAACGGTGACTCATTTATTTCCGTCCATGTATTCAGCATATCTCTATCGAAATAAACCTATGTTTCTATGACAATTGAAGCTTTTGGTTTTTTGCGGCCACATCCATGTAAACCTTGTTCATCTGGGCCGTGTGAGCCTGTGAGTCTGACGTGCTTGCTTTAGAGAAAAGACGAAGACGGGTGCTGCTCCGCCCGCCCACTCCCGGCCTCGTTCCGTGGGGAGCCTCAGGCGGGGCCGCTTCCAGGCAGGCCGCTCGCGGCTCCAGCCTCAGCACAACCGGTGTCGGGGTTCAGCTTCGCTTCCTGGGCACTTGGCCTCCAGCCTGAAGATCTTTTGAAATCTCTCCTGTAATTGGCTGCCTCCCGCACGCCCCCTACCGGGGATGGAGCCCGCAACCCTGGCCTGTGCCCTGACCTGGAATCAAACCCTGACCTCCTGGTTCCTAGGCCGATGCTCAGCCACAGAGCCACGCGGCCCGGCTGGGTTTCTGTTTGACCAAGTGAAGAGCCTTTCCATTAAGCGTAGAAGTCAAAAGGCTCCAGGTTTTGGGTGAAGTGGGACCTTAGAGAGCCGCCCCTCTGACCCCATCTCGCTGCTCGTGGGGGACGAGTCTGCCGGTCGTGACCTCGTGTCCATCCGTGGAAACAGCCCCAGCGCCTCTCGGGGGCCTGGTGACCTGGGCTGGTTCACTCAGGCTGCTGGTCTGCTCCAGGCGGCCCCAGCCCCACCGCCCGGGGA